CCCCAAAACCCCAAAACCCCAAAACCCCAAAACCCCTTCATCTTCGTTATTATTGAAACTTTCACTAAAACACAAAGAACTTAATCTTTACTATCCAAACCTTCCTCTCCTACCGCCTGATCCCTTACTGATGAACTTGTACACATCTAGAAGGAAGAGAGGAGACTTACCTTTTTCAGAGCTTAAGTACTTGCCCACGCCTGGCACCGTTTTCTTTGTGCGGAGTACTTCATCAGTGAGTGTCTTTTTAGGTTGTTTTGGGAGATAGAGGGAGATCTTTTTCTTTTGAGTGGCGTCGTATGACTCCATTGCTTTGTACTTACATGCTCCTGGTGAGCTCTATTAATAGTTCACACAAATATACCTTATTCCTTGTGATTGGATCAAGGAAGCTACCTCTCTTTGACTTTGTAATCTTGTGAGCATACGGTTTCTTCTCAATAGAAGTCTAAAGGAAAATGAGATCTTGGTAGCAAAGAGAATTACATATTTTACATTCTGGATTCCAGGTGTTTGTTGTCCTCTGTAAGTAGCATCATCAATGAAAGCATTCCCTGCTCTAGTTCTAGAGACAAATAAAGTTCATTTCGATTTAGGGTATTTTGGCTTATAGCTATTTGGACCTGGAATCTTCTTATTTTTCCGCCATTATTGTATCAATGTACGAGGCTCTGCAAGTCATGACTCTATAATTACCTTTTTACTTTGGAAAAGCCAGCATAATGTTGAGGCACCTTCATTGACTCAACTTTAGAGTATTTATCAGGACTTGGAGTCTGCATTGCTCTTTTCTTAATCATATCATACATGTTTGGAATCTTGTCCTTTTTCCATTTGTTGCAATAGACATGTGGCTTGAATAATGGATTATAAGAGTCCTGAATTTTTATTTTTCCATCTATAGATATCGTCAAATCTCTCAAATTTATGACTAAAATGTGCAAGATAATTACCGTTATTTAGTTTTCTCCCTTATCATGGAAGATACTGATTTTCTGAGGTCTCCTATAGCGCAGATGAGGTTTCATTGTAACTGATGGCTTACTCTCGGCTTCTCTAATCCTCTGTGCTCTGTCAGGGTTGGTAATAGTCCTGCTACAATCATCATAATTTCTGCTTTTCTCCTAAAGATTAAGCTGATTTCTCACATTAAGGAAGGAACTAGTATCAGGCTGATGGTTTCTCATTGGAGTTCTAAAATAATTTTAGGATCTGTTCAGAGAATTATTGAAATGTTTTTGAGCCAAGCATCTAACTTTTTAGCTTGCTTTATGTAAAGGAGTCAAATACCTGCTGCTGCATGAACCTTGGTTTCGTTCGAGACTTGGAAGTTGACCGTATTCAGACATATGAGTAGAGGCTTGAAGTCTGATAAAGTTAGAGATATAAGAGTTGGAAGAGTATTAAAATGTTTAAGTTAAGTGTAAATAACAAGTAGGAAATCTTATCAGGATCATATGATCCAAAAGCTTTTGTCTAATAAATATTCACAATCTCTACACCAGATCCACTTATTTCTAATTTCAAAGAGTACAAATGGTACCATAAAATCCTAAACCAAATTCCCCTCTAAAGCCCTCCTCTTCCTCTCCCCACTCCAAACGTAACCTCAAAAATCTCCCTTCTCATTTGACCTTTAATTTCCCAAAAATCCCCATTTAATTACCTTAAATTTATTTTGCGAATAATTTTTATTTCCAATAAATCTTTGGGCCAAAGGGGTTTTGGGGTTTTGGGGTTTTGGGG